CTGGGGGAAAGAAGGGGGGGGGGGGGAGGAGAGCATGCATGAATGCAAAAGAGAACGAGTATTGGAGCTCTGGTGTATGCAGGGAGCGTCGTGGCTCCAGCCAGAACGTCTTTACACGACGGTGTTATGACGTTGGGGATTTGTGTTATAGGAGGGGGGGTGAGGAGAGGAGCGTCTTATGCAAGTATATGCAGGCCGCAGAGCTCGGCCCGTTGGCGGCGGCGTAGAAGGGGCTGTAGCAGCACGGCTTGGGCAACAGGCATCAGGATCCTGGAACAGAGGGTTTTGTCGCATAGGTATAATATCCAAGGGGGGAAAAGACGGCATGCCATGGGCCAAAGGCTGCCCAGTTGTCCAGCATCATGTGCGGAGTTATCGTACACCGAGGCAATTATGTCCTGCGCGGGGAACCTTGAGGGCGAGCATGTCCAGGGTTCAGGATTCAAGGAGGGGGGGATATTGGAAAAGAGAAGACGCAAGGGAGAACGGTGCATGATGCGTGATGCGCATGCTTACATGTGTACCAACTTGCGCGGGACGATGAGGCGATCAGGGCCAACGAGGGCCTTGCCTGTGGCGCGGACTCGCTTCTCGCCGTTGGCAGTGAGGGGAATATCGGTGCGGCCCGTGTGTTTTCCGCTGAGGGACCATTCTGTTTCGCCGTGGCGGACGAGGAATAATCGAGGTGTGGACATGGTGGTTTGGATGTGTTTGGGGGCGAGCGAGGGATGGATCATTGGATGTATGGATGGACGAGCCAATTGGCGGCGTACGAAAGCAGGCCCGGCGTTAGACAGCAAACAAGGGCAGCGTTTGGTTGATTTGAAAATGATTGTCAAAAACGAAGGAATCAAGACGAGCTGGGCCACGTCTCTACTTCATCTCCTGGCGAGGAGAGAAGCGGTCCAGCGGAGGGGTGAAAGAGATGGAGGGGCATGGACCGCATGGTTAATCGATCGAGCTTATGTGGATCTCGGCGTCTGAGACCCTCGACCGTTGGCCAGATCTGGCTTGCTAATGCTTCTTGTCATCAGTTACTAAACATCACCAAGCGACGCCAACAAACAGCCCGAGTTGGAGCTCGGCAAGGCGAGTCTCTTCATACACGCAACTACTACTTCGTACTCTACTCGGGTATTTTTTTCACTAGACGGGCCATCTGCACATGGCACGCAAGTGTGTCGAAGGCGTTTCCAACGCCCGCACCTATTAAACGCACTTGAGTCTTGACACGGCGAAACCAAGCCGGCAGACATTTCAGGCGGGGCCGCACGTCAAACAAAATCCATGTCCTTGACCTCAACCACAGAAATATATATATATATATATATATATATTTCTGTGGGTGAGGTCAAGGACATGGTTTTTGTTTCTGGGCCACGTCTCTACTTCATCTCCTGGCGAGGAGAGAAGCGGTCCAGCGGAGGGGTGAAAGAGATGGAGGGGCATGGACCGCATGGTTAATCGATCGAGCTTATGTGGATCTCGGCGTCTGAGACCCTCGACCGTTGGCCAGATCTGGCTTGCTAATGCTTCTTGTCATCAGTTACTAAACATCACCAAGCGACGCCAACAAACAGCCCGAGTTGGAGCTCGGCAAGGCGAGTCTCTTCATACACGCAACTACTACTTCGTACTCTACTCGGGTATTTTTTTCACTAGACGGGCCATCTGCACATGGCACGCAAGTGTGTCGAAGGCGTTTCCAACGCCCGCACCTATTAAACGCACTTGAGTCTTGACACGGCGAAACCAAGCCGGCAGACATTTCAGGCGGGGCCGCACGTCAAACAAAATCCATGTCCTTGACCTCAACCACAGAAATATATATATATATATATATATATATATAAGAAGCAACTCCTTCTATGCCCTCGGTTTCATCAAGCAGCTTATCCCACCAATGACGCATGGATTAGTCATGACCCCTGCACGCCCATCTCCAAACCGGACCCATGGCTTCCCGCTCCACCTTGAATCTCAATCCTCTCCGACATCGAGCCGTCAGCCTTTGCAAAGCGAGCCCTCAATCTCATCGCCGCCCTCTTCGCGCTCCGCACAGAAGCCCTCTTCAATCGGCAATCGGCAATCGGCACTCTCGCTCAGCTTCCGAGCC